TGGCTGAGTGGCAATGCATGAACCAAGAGGTCAATGGTTTGATTCCTGGTCAGGGCACATGCCTGGGCCGCAGTTTCAATCCCCAGAAGGAGGATTGCAGGATGTTTCTTTCCCTTCCTCTATCTCTAAAAATCAATAAAAGCATACTTAAAAAAATTAGGTGTAAAACTGTTTTAAAAGTAAAGTCTATTAAAAAAAAAAGTGTATAATCTCACTTCATGTGTTCTGTGATGGGCACTGTCATATCTTGACTTCCAGAGGAGAAAATGAGATGGGGGGTAAGGACTGCCCAGGCCACACAGGGCAGCCAGGGGTCCTAGCAGGTGGCCAGAGACCATTGCAAGGTGTTAAGGAAGACACTCAACCTTCATGTTCAAGTCTGGGAAATGCAAAATTTAACAGTACTCACTTCACTTAACTAAAATCAAGTTAGTGAGATGGGCTAATTAAGCCAAGTGCTTAGCATGGTCCCTGGGACACAGTAAGAGCTCCCAGATGTAGCTACGGTTGGTGGTTTAAACATTCTCTCCTTTCAGAGCCCTGGTCTTGTCGCCTGTCACATGACCAGCACCGGGCCTTGGCGGGCTGCGGAGCCAGGAGGGATGTAAGCTAGGACAGAGGTCAGGAATCACGTTAGGGGAGAGTGAGTCTCCCCTCTGGGAGGACATGGCTCCGTGCTCCCCAGGCCTCTGGGGATGGCTGCTGTTAGACTCCAGGCCTGCTGCCGGAGGCTGCTTTGACGGGGGCAGGGGTGGCAGAGGCGGCACACAGAAGCTCCTTTGTCCCAGCCGGGGGTGGTGGCTGGCAGCCGGCTCACCCTGGGGATGGCTTTGGTCGGTTACCTCCCGGTCTGTGGGACACTGGGCTGGGGTAGGAATAGGGGATGGCTCACTCCAGGCTACCTTGACTCACTGGGTGACCCGAGACAAACCCTGGGCCCCTTGGTGGGGGCCCACTTCCCACAAGTCACCCAGCAGGGCCTTCTCCGCCTCTGCCGAACCCGGGGCCTGGTACGGAGGCAGAGTGACGAGACAGAGTGGACACTTCTGAGGGCTGGTCCCTGTGGTCCTGAGCCAAACCCCAGCGTGGAGCTCAGAATCACATGGAGAGACTCCACCTGACCTAGCGGGCCAGCCATGACCTGAGGCCGTGTGACCTGTGTCCTCTCTGCTGACCGTGCACTCGCTGTGCCCCCTACTTGCAACACCCTCTCCTGTGCATCCGTCTGGCAGAAACTCCTATTCTCTCTTCCAAAGTCCGACTCACAAGTCCAGGTACCCTTCCTCTCCTTCCCCCAACGCAGCACAGCTCAGGGCTCCCGGGCTGTTCATTCGTTCACTCATTCATTCACAACAATGGTCCTGGTCAGGTCCTAATGTCTGACCACTGCCCCTCACTGCCCTCCGTCTTCTGGAAACATATTCTCCTCTTGCCGTGCCTCCCGCCTCTTGGCTGGCTCGTCCTCCAGTCCCCAACCTGGAATCACCAGTGGCCTTGACCTCTGCTCCCACTCAGCTCCTGGGGGCGCGCTGCCAGCACCTGAGCTTCAAACACATCTCTACCCTCTAGACCTCCCAGATTAAAAAAAAAAAAAAATTATATATATATATATATATATATATATATATATATGTATATAATTGGTTTCAGAGAGGCAAGGAGAGAGAGAAATATCAATGAAAAGAGAGAATCTTTGATCAGCTTCTTCCTGCACGCCCCACACCAAGGATCGAACCCGCAACCTGGTCATGTGCCCTGACCAGGAATTGAACCGTGAGATTGATGAACCTGAGCCACGCTGGCTGCTAGGCCAGGCCTCCCTGATTCTGATCTCTCGCTGCCTTCCCTGATTCTACACTGGGATTTCCAATTCGCTTCTAGACAGACAACCTCCCTTGGCCCCCAGGCAGGCATTTCACGCATCTACCCTCAAGCCAGCTCCTTCAGCCTCACCCACTCAGGCCAAACGCCTGGAGTAGCCGCTGACCCCACCCCTCTCATCTCCACAGCCAATCTGGCAGCGTACGACTGGCTCACCTTTCACGGCTCACCCCTAAAATGACAACTTCTCACCACCTCCTCTGCCCTACCCAGGTCTGGGCCACCATCACTGCCTCCTCTCTGGCCCCTGCTCCCTGTCCTCTCCGTTTTCCCTGGGAAACTCACAAAGGATGCTCACAGCTCTTAGAATAAAACCCCTGGTCTCCTCATTATTCCCCAAGGCACTGGACACACACCAGCCTCAGGGCCTTTGCACCTGCAGTTCCCTTTGCCTAGAATACCCATCACAGAGATCTGCCAGGCCCGTGCCTCACCTCCCAGGTCTCTACACCGATGCCGCTGACCTCACTCTTCCCCGCCTACTCCCTTATCCTGATTGTATTAGCAGCATTGCACCATCTGGTTGCGCTTTTTAACTGGGCACCTTTTCATGCTTCTGCTTTTTCAAAGACCTTGCAGGGGCACCTGGACCTCTGGGAGATAATGGTGGATGGGGGTGGGCCCCGTAGGAGGCACGGTGCCCTTACATCAAGCGCAGTTAACGTAAAAATCAGCGCAGCTGCTTAAACTGATTAGGGACTGTGTAAACACTGCTATCGGGATTGTCTGTTCTTATCAGCCCAGAGGCAAAGGTATGAGATTGGGAAGCTGCAATCAGATGCACTGACTGGACAGTCAGAGATTCTCCTGGGCCCAGGGCCGGCAGCTGCCTGGGCCTAACCCTGGAAGGGACTGACCACCTGCCTCGGATGCCCTCTGTCATGTGTGCCCCAGATGACACACACGTAGGCTTGGAGGCTGCTGATTCTTTGCCCAAGCGGGGCCCCCTGTCTAGAGCGCCCTCTCCTCTCAGTGCTAACTGGTGGCTGCATAGTCAGTCCCTGGTTCAGGAGCCACACAGATCTGAATATGTGATCCCAGATGCTGCTGCTGCCTGGGTGAGGGCCAATGGGCAAGTCTCTTGGCTACTCAGAACCTTCTCACTAGGCTGACACTGAGAGTCAAAAGTGCCCAGCCTGGGGCCTGGCCTCGCAGGAGCTCAGGAAATATCTACCTTTAAACTGGCCACTGAGGCAGAAGGCCCAAGCCCTGGTGAGTGGGCCTTCCACCCCTCTGCTCAGTCACTGGCCCTCTCAGCTGCTATGCACACCTGCATTTGCCCTCACACTAGCTCCAGGAGGCAAGGACTGTGGGCAGCTTATTTAGCCTGAGCACTACTGGCTTAGGTGGCCAGAATGCTTTTAATGAGATTGTGGGAGTGAACGACACAAATGGAAACAGTTACCTAAGATCTAGGTTGTGCCAAAACTGGTTCGGCTCAGTGGATAAAGCGTCAGCCTGCGGACTGGGGGGTCCCGGGTTCGATTCCGGTCAGGGGCATGTACCTTGGTTGCCCGCACATCCCCAGTGGGGGGTGTGGGGGAGGCAGCTGATCGATGATTCTCTCTCATCGATGTTTCTCGCTCTCTGTCCCTCTTCCTCTCTGTAAAAAAATCAATAAAATATATTTAAAAAAAAAGAAAAAAAGAACTATGTTGTGGCTTGAGGTGTGTACGACTCTGAGCCAGTCCATTCTCAGAGCCTGTTTCCTCAACTGAAAAATGATGATAACTGTAGCCTCTACCTCCGAGGCTGTGGATGGGTGTAGACTGACGGGGAGAAAACACTCAGTAGGTACTAATAAGTTGCAGCTTGCTCACTCATTCATTCATTCATTCATTCATTCAACAAATATTTATCAAGCACCTACTGTGCATGGTCTTGTGCTTGGGGCTGGGGACATAGTGGCAAACACACAAAAATCTCTACTCCCAAGAAGTGGACATTTGAGTAGGGGAAAACACATAATAAGCAAATAAAGAAATATCTACACTAATAAAAGAGAAAGATGCAAATTGACCATACCTCCATGATGCCCACCAAACAATCAGGAGTGAGTATGCAAATCAAGCCAACAAAATAGGGGGGTAATTTGCATATGCAGACACAGACTGGAGACTGAAGCCTTGGCTGAAGGTTTGGCGTTAAGCCTCCGCTGTGGCCTGGGTCCCGGGTGCCAGCAGCCAGGGGAAGGACAGCCTATGGCACGAATCCTCTAGCATTGTGTAAAAGAGTAGGGTGAGGGGCTGGTGTATGACAGGACTGCTATTTCTGAGGAGTAATTGGGGGCTTCCTGAAGAGATGACCTCTGTCTGAGCAGAGAATTGAATGAGGTATCAACTATGTAGATAGCTACAGGAAGTGTTCCAGGCACAAGGGGAAAGCATATGCAAAGGCCCTGAGATAGGAGTGTGTCCACTCCATGGCAGAGGCACAGTGAAGAGGTCAGTGTGGAGGGAGCAAGGTGAGCCAGAGAAGAGTGGAGGGAGATGAGGTCTGAGGAGGAGGTAGGGCCAGGCCATGCTGAAAAGTTGGTGCTTCATTCTTTTTTTTTTTTTTTTGTATAGCAAAGGTGGAGATTTGTTGAAGAACAAGTATAGACTCCCATGTGGGAAGGAGGAGTGAGTCCCACAGAACAGGTCCCACATGGGGAAGGGGAGAGAGTCCTGAGTTTCATTCTCAATATACAGGGGAGAGCAGGGGAGTGGCATGAAATGACTGAGGTTCTAACTGGGGCCCTCTAGCCGTGGGGGCGGGGGGGGGGGGGGCGGGGGAGGGGGGATGGAGGCAAAGGTGCGAGTGGGGAGACCAGGGAGGAGGCTCCTACAGTCCAGCGGGAGAGGATGGTGGCTGGACCGGGGTGGGGACAGAGTAATGGATTCTGAATGCATTTTGAAAGTGGAGCCAGAAATATTTGCTGATCCTTTGGATGTGGAATGTGAAAGAGAAGCTAAGGATGACGCCCAGGATTTTGGCTCAAGTGACAGGTGCCACTGGTTGAGATGAGAGGCGGAGTTCCCACAGCACGTACCGACTCTGTGTGCACACACATTGCCATGAGGGGCACAGACACTAGGTACGTGGAAACGGAGGCAGGCAACAGAGCCACGGGCACTTACCGACACCCAGCATCACGGAGGGCGTGTGCTCCCAGCGGGCCAGCAGCAGGAGGTGGACCAAGTTGTGGGCAATGAGGCCGAAACACAGGACCACACAGCACCACTCCTGGAGGCGCTTGCCTGTGGGGAGAAAGGGGACAGGTGAGCGTGGAGGGCCGCTTCCAATTCTCAAGAGAAGCCAGGGGGACTCTGCCCCCTCCCCACGTGGGAGTCAGTTCAGGGACCCCTCTCCCCATGCCTACTTGGAAGTCTGTACTTGCTCTTGCTCTTCAATATATATATATTAAAAAAAAATGTTGCCACATATTTTTAATAGGCACATGAGCTTGGAGAAGCTGATTTCCTTACTGCAGTTTTGTGTGAGGTGTCAAATCATTGGAAATAACCTAAGAGTCCATGGCCTGAGGGACCAGCCAAATTAATCTGGCCCACAGCATCTCTGCAGCCAGAAAAAAGCCAGGCTGTGCACATATTAGTACATCCAGGACACGCCAGGAAGCACAAATAGGAGTCATTTAATCAAAAGCAAAAACTACAGTTAAGACTAGCTTTTCACTTCTTTTTAATTTTAAAATTTGTGAAGTACTATCAAAAGCCTTTTCTTGTCATTTTAAATAAAAAATTTACAAAATAGGAAATAAAAATAGCATGTGGGTGACACGGAATTTGTGACAGGGCTTCTGAGAATACTGCTTTCCCAGCAGCAGGTCTCAGGGCGTGGAAGACTCTTCATGACAATGATTCAACATCCACTAAGCAGTTACTATGTGCCAGGTACCCGCTGAGGTGATGATGCTACTTTGCAGATGAGAAGTCTGAGGGTCAGAGCGGTCAAGGAAGTAACTCAAAACTACCCAGCTAGTCAGCTTCAGTCCAGGATCCTGTGGCCAGAGGATCTGGCTCCTGAGACCTTGTCCTGTTGTCCCTGGCTGCTCCTGCCGTGGCCCTGACCACATTCTGGGACAGAATCACCTTAGACCATAGGCCAGGCAGTGAGTGATTGGCCATCAAAGGGGCCAAGGCACAAAAGTTTTCTCCTGCATCCATCCTCTCCTCTCTTTAGTGCTTTGGATGTGCTGTTTCCTTCACCCCCCTACACCAGGCTGACTTTGGCACGGCCCTTAAAAATCTCCACCTGGGCCCTAACAGGTTTGGCCTGCAAACTCAAGGGTCCCAGGTTCGATTCTGGTCAAGGGCATGTACCTTGGTTGCGGGCACATGCCCAGTAGGGGGTGTGCAGGAGGCAGCTGATGGATGTTTCTCTCTCGTTGAGGTTTCTAACGCTCTCTCCCTCTCCCTTCCTTTGTGTAAAAAAAAAAAAAAAAAAAAAAAAAAAAAAAAAAAAAAAATCAATAAAATATATTAAAAAAAAAAAAAATCTCAACCTGGAACCTCTGTCTCTAGGAAGCCATCCGTGATTCCTCCTCTGACCCCAGGGCTCCCCCAACATAGTGGGACTGTCACTGTGTGTCCAAACGTGAACTCAGGAGGCCTGTCTGCTGTGTTTACCAGGACATAGGTGGCGCTCAATAAATGCTTGTGGCATAAAATCCCACAATGATAATCCTAAAGGAAAAACTGCCAGGCTTTGTCTTTGGGCTCCCCTCCCCAAAGCAGCTTGGGGAGGAAGCATCCTTTGTTCCTGGCAGGTTCAGAGAGAGAGAAAGGGCCTTGTCCAGGTCCTACGACAGCGAGCTGCTCCCTGAGTCGGAGGGGAGGAGCTGCCCGCTCCGTGCCCTGTGAAGAGTCCAGGCTTCAGAGTGGGGAGGACGGTGCCCCTTCTCATACAGATGAGCACACCGAGGTCCAGAAATAGCAACAGGGTGCATGCAGCAGCAGAAGAGAGTCTAGGGCCGAGAGCCACATGCGGCTCTTGGGCCCCTTGAGTGTGGCTCTTCCACAAAATGCCACGGCCTGGGCGAGTCTATTTTGAAGAAGTGGCATTAGAGGAAGTTTAAGTTTAAAAAATTTGGCTCTCAAAAGAAATTTCAATCCTTGTACCGCCGATATTTGGCTCTGTTGACTAGTGAGTTTGCCGATCACTGGCCTAGAACCCCTTGCTTCCTGCTTCTTGGTCAGGGGCTGTTTTCTCTGGGTCATGTGGCCTGCCACCGCAGCAGCCCCAGCTAAGGACACTATGATCTGGCCCAGCAGGGCCTTCCCCACCTGGTTCCTCTTTGTGGCCAAGGCCTGGGGATCAGAAGCAGGAAGCCTGGGGAGGGGCTCAGCTGGGGGCAAGGGACAGTGATTCCACAATGCCAACCTGTCTGCTCCCTGCCCAGCCTGGCAACAGTATTGGCCAGGCCCCTCTAGTCATCTGAGTTTTTGAGCCTGAGATAAAATGACAATAACAGCAACAATGGATGAAACCACGGAGGCCTATCACAGCTGGGGTGCCAGCTTTAGCCCACATCAGAGATGCCACAGACCCACTCCCTCTAGCATATTTGCTCTCAGTTAAAAAAAAAAAAAAAATATATATATATATATATATATATAACTACACATACACAAAAATCCCATGAAATTCCCATTCCCTGGTTCCTTGGAGAACATAGGACTCTGGCCACCCTGGGGCCCGAGCAGCAGTAGTTGTCCCATCAGAAGGGGGCAAGAACTCCCAGTTCACCCTGGTCCCTCCCCTGGGGGTGGCCTCATATTGGGTGGCTTTCCTTGGTGGCAGTCCTGGCCAGGTCCCTGATGACAGCCTGAATGTCTGGGCCTGTCCTGATTCCAAAGGTTGCCCAGCTCTCCCCCCCCCGCCCCTTCCATGGAGAATGTCCCGGAATCTGAATATTTTCCTGTCTAAACGCTCCTTGGCCTCTGGAATCTGGGTCCTTCTGTAGATCAAGGCCTCAACTTAGATCCATTAAAAAAAACAAACCCATCTACAATATTAAATGGCCTTCATTAAGTATGTCCTACATGCCAAGTACAATGCCAGCAGTAACCTCAGCCAGCCCTCACCATACTCCGTAGACCTTTGCTCCATCCTTCAGAGGGAGAAATGGAGAGGTGAAGTGACCTACTCAGAGTCAATTGAGAGCCACCTAAGTTACAGCCTGGGCAGTCCGTCTGTCAGGGCCTGCATGGTCAAGTGGTTTACATGCTGTCACTTTAGAGATTGGTGGACTGGAGCCCAAGGAGGGGAAAGGCTTTGCTCCAGACACAAGCGCTCGGGCTGCCTCTGGCAGAGCGCTGGGCCTTGTTGTCTTGAGCCATCCCTGGCCTGGCCAGGCCCATGATCTGGGCTGTTACAGCAGTGACTGCGGGTTGGCCTGGGGAGGGGGCTGGATGTGGGTGGTGGCCGTGGAGGGCTGGCAGGTGCAGGGGAGGTCAGGAGTCAGGCCTCGGCCATCTCTGCTTTCTACAGCAAGAGCCCTGGCATCAGGCCCAAATCCTGTAATTCAGTCAGACAAGCTCTGAACAATTTGCACTTCTGATGGCCTTTGGCCACAAGGAGACCCTGGGCCTCAGGAAAGTGTGGACAGGAGGGAGGGAGAAGGCAGGGGAGAGAGAGAAAGAGGCGGGGGGGGGGGGGGGAGAATGATGTGAGAGAGAATAGGAAGCAAGAGACAGAGATGAGAAACAGATAGAAGAAAGAGAAAAACAGACACAGGCACAGATTATCGGGACACAGAGAATAAAAGAGAAACAGCATGGGCAGAGGGAAGGAGAGACAAAGAAATGTGAAAACAACAAGACTGAGGGAGGTAGAGAGAAAGCTTGGCACAGAGTGTGGCAAGGACCAGGCCTGGCCAGGGAAGGGACCCCATGCCTCTGTCCCCTGGCTTTGGTCAGGCCCACGCGGGGGACTGAACCCAGGCTCAGCTCTGGGACTACAGGCCAGGACCTCCGCTCAGTGCTCCCTCTACCTTTCCTGTAACCCCGTGCTAAGAGGCCCAGGGCAGGCAGGGGGCACCTGCAGTTAGCCAGTGGGGAGATAAACAGCTGACTCTAGAGAGCCCTTAGAATCCACCCCGGGGGCACCTGAGAAGGGCCGTACACAGAGGCAGGCATCAGCTGGCACCTGCCTCACCTCCTGGCTTGCCCATGAGGCCAGGGGAAGCCTGCCAAGCCCGCCAGGCCTTTCACAAATCCTGCCACCTGGCACAGGACAGCTGCTGCTGCGAAACTGAAATCCAGAGGGGAGCAGACTATGGGACGCTCTGGCTCCCGGCCTGCAGGCCCAGGCCCCAACTCCTTGGCTGGACACTCGGGGCCCATGGGATTGGGCTGAGGCTGCCTCACCCCTCACCGTTTCCTCCACCCCACACCGTGCTCATCAGATGACTCACAGCTCTCTGCCCAGACAGTGCCCACTCTCTCTGCTCGGCTGACCCGCACTGGCTCCGCTCCTGCACGCCCACCTGGGGCCGGCTCACTTCCACAGGAGAGACTAAGAACTCGGAACCTAGAACGTCCTCTACCAGTGAATGTTCTGGCTCTGGCCCTGAGGCCAACTGGCGGTGTGACCACGGGCAGGGAGCTATTCCTTGCTAAGCCTCAGGAAATGCTGTTAAGGTAGACGGCATCCGTGGCCTAGCCAATGCCCCCTCCGTTACGGGCAGGGGCAAGCCCAGTCCAGGCAAGGCAAGTGCAGGAAGAACATGCTCTTCTCGATGAGGAGGCCATGGTGTGTGTGTGTGTGTGTATGTGTGTGTGTGTGTGTGTGTGTGTGTCTCAGTTCCCTCTCCTGTAAATGGAATTCATGCCAAGGGGCTCCGCAGACAACTGCAGTGAGGATGACACGAGGGCATGTGAGGAAAATACCCAGGAGGTGACAGGGCTCAATAAGTTGTTTTTGCCTTGTTACTGTTGCCAACTGTTACAGTGCCAACCCACTGCTGGCCCCCGGAATTTCAAGAATCTAGTTCTGGAACCCAGAAACGTCTCCTACTCGCCCTTTTCTGCTCCAACCCACAAGCCTCCTCGCTGTTCCAAAGACATCCCAGGCACACTCCCACCTCAGGGCCTTTGCATTTGCTGTGTCCCTAGTCTGGACTAATGGTTCCTCCAATATCTTTATGCCCTTCAGGTCTCTGCTCAAACATCACCTGCGAGGCCTTAACTGCCCCCGTCTAAGATGTCACTGCTCCCAACATTTCACTCCCCTTTTCTGCTTATACATTTGCTCTATAGGATTTGTCACCCCTGGGCAAGTGACGTATTCCCCTCCTATCATTGGGCTTACTAAAAGCCAGCCCCATTTTTCCTGCTTTGTTCACCGCTTTGTCACCAAGGTTTTAGAACAGGGACTGGGACAAAGCTGCTTAGTATGTAGTGGGCCTGGTGGCTCATGGTATAGGTTAGGCCCAGAGAGATCAAGCCACACAAGGAAGGGACAGAAGGAAGCTTACAAATTTGGAGAAACCAGTCTGGCCAGTTTCCCTCCTTCCACTCCTCATACCCCAGCCCCCAAACTCCACAGCAGGAGGAGTTAGGCCCTGGCTGCAGGTCTGAGGTACCTGGAGGTTGTCTGTGGTACCAGATCCCTGCACGGCTATTCTTCAGAGAGTGACAGGCCCTTGGCGACAGCAGAACCAGACAAAGATGCAATCATGGTGGGATGGGGAGATGGTGGTCCCTGGGGGAGGCTCAGAATGCCCAGGTATGATTTGGCTGAAAGCGGGTAGGGTTTACTTGAGTGGGCAGGGATGGGCGCAAAGGAGAAGGCCTTTGAATGCTTACCCTCGATACCCAGGGGATGACTCTGAGGACCAGAGAGGTGAGGCAGCTTACTTCGAGATTCACAGGCAAAGTCAGACTATGGGGTTAACAACAGGGAGTGCCTACTCTAGGCCAGGCACTGTGCCAAAGTGGATGATCTTATTCCCTTTTCCTGGTGACACTAAGGAACAAATAAACTTTACCCTGTACCCATTTTAGAGGTGAGGACATGGATGCTTAAGAGAGGAAAGTGGCTTGGCCTTAGGAAGTGCAGGAGTTAGTCCATAGGCCGGGTATTTTGGGAAAAGGCTGAAGAAACCATGACAGCATGGGCCATGGAATTGCAGAACATGGAATTACAAGTCCAGAAAGGCCTCTGCTGGTCCTCAACGAGAAAGCAAATGGCCCACTGTCATGTAGCTCCAGTCATGACAGAGAGAGCACGCAACCCAGGCCAGTCAGGCCGAAGGTGGGAGTGGACCCTTGCCCGCCCCAGGCCAGGGCTGTGCATGGTGGCAGGTGTTAAAATGCCAGCATGTTTGACAAACAAAGCTCGGAGTGATGACTGTGTTCAGCAGAGGAGCCAGCTCCCAGTCACCTGACTCTGGAGTTTGCAAAAGCATTTCCTTAACCCCTGGGGATACTTGGCCTTCTTGGGGCTAGACAAGAAGATTCCTGGGGCTTGGAAGGCAGAGAAGGTGAGTGGGGACTGATGTTGCTGGAGCATCATCAATAGTTGGCACAGGGGTAAGAAGGCAGGGGCCTTGGCCTGGGGGCAGAATTTGAACAAGCTTCTCTAAATTGTGGTCTAAGGATTATGTGGGCTCCACACACAGATCCTAAGGGAGGGGGCTAATATACCCATCCACATGGGGGAGGGGAAAGGGGTGGAGCTGTGGCTTGTGTATGGGAGGAGCTTAAACTGGAGGATTCTCAATGCCCTTCCCACCAGGAATTCTGGAATACCGGGTGAGGGGCTGGGTGTCCTTACCCAGGGAGTGGTTGGGGGGCAGTGATGGAGGAGGGGAGGGAATGGTGGTCTGTACTTTCAGCCACTGAATCTATAACTAGGATGGGTTTGGGGGTAAGGGCGCTTGGGGCATTCGGTAGCTAGGGGCCCTTGCATTGAGGTTCCTAGAGCAGGGGGGTGATGTGCCCAGATTTTGGGGCTGAAGTCACTGTTTCCAGCCCAGGACCCCGGCTGAGGCGCAGAAGGGGGCATAGGGTGTGAATGCTGGATCTGGGAAACCTGGGATGGGGTGTAACTTTCAGGGGCTCAGGGGCAGAGTTTGTAGCTGAGGAGCAACCTCCAGCTCGTAATGGGTTATGGGGTGTGGTGTCCCTAAGTCCAGCGGCGGTCTTTGCAGCCGCGGGTGCCCAGGGGCTCGGAGTGGGATCTGGGGGTGCGATGGGAGCTCAGGTTGTAGTCCCGGGAGCTGATGTTGCAGTTCCTTGATCTGGGGAATCTAAGCATCCAGAAAGCCTCGGGGCTGGCTTCTGGCTTGGACTTGGAAGTGGTACTGGGATGGGGGTACCCAAACTTGCCATTTAAGCAAAGGCTGGAGTTCTGCATCAGGGCCTGAGGCCGGGGTTCCGACCTGGGGACCCGGGATTGCTGCCCGCAGCCCGATCTGGGCACTGCAGGCCCGGAGGGGAGCCCGGAGGTCCTACCTGGCGAGTAGAGCGCGGCCAGCTCGCGGGCCCCGGCGTGCTGCGCGCCCCAGCGCCGGCCATACGCCGCCTCGTCCTCGTCGAGCTCCGGCTGCGGGCCCGGCCCGGCCTCGGCGGCTTCCATGGTCCCGGGGCCGGCGCGTCCGATGCGCTCCGCTAGCAGAGGCGGCAGGGCCGCGGAACCGCGGCGAGATCACGCCGCCAATGACCGCCCAGCGCCGAGGGCGGCGCCGGCGCCGGCGGGGGCCTCGCCCGGCCTCGCGTCACAGCCAATCACAGCCCGCGCCGGGGGCGCGCCGGCCAATCAGCGACCTTCGAGCCACAACCAACCGGGGTGCGCCGGAGGTCGGGCCGCAGCTGGGCGCAGCTGGGCGCGGAAGCGGGGCGGGGGGGGGGGGGGGGGGGGCGGGGGGGGGGGGGGGCGGGGGCGGGGGCGCGTCCCGGCCGCCTCGCTCCGCCCCGGCTTGTGCCCGGGAGCCCGCCTCGCGGAAACGCGGGCCGCGGCGCCTCCCAAGTCAGTCCCCGCTCGCGGTCCGGCCCGGCCCGGTGTAACGTGCCAAGGTCGTGCGCCGCCGCCCCTGGCATCGGGCATTTCTACAGCGCGCACCGACGAGCGCCTACTGTGTGCAAGGAACGCGAGGGCGCCGGGCCCAGGCCAGGGGACAGCGCGTGGTGGACGCTTGGAACAGAGCTCCTGGCTGGAGCCTGGGCACGCTGGGCCGGCCTATGGAGCCCGTCCGCGGGTTAGGGGTTCGAGGACGTGCGTATTCCTGTTGTGCCAGCCCGTGCTGTGCGCCCTGGAGGAGAAACGCCTGACCCCCGGAGCTACTGTCCTCCTGAGGGAGAGGACACCGGACTGATGAGAAGGACATTAGGCTGCACTATGAGATTTTGGTGAGCGCTTAACCTCAGTTAGGTGCCGGGCCAGGAGCTAGAGGGCAGGTTTCATTTACTGTTAATAACCAATGAAGTCCTCCTCCGAGGCCCCTCGGACCGCCCTGCTCAAAGCTGCCCCTCCTCCAGGCACTGTGACATCACCCCGTCTTGTCTCACAGAGCCTGTCCTGGGCCATGGGCTTTGCAGTTCACACCTGCCCCCAGCAGACACCAAGCTCCCCAGGGCGAGGGAGGGCCAGGACTGGCGTTGGTCACAGCCGAACACCACATCTTAACCCGAGCAGGGCACGGGATGGGCTCAGCAGATGCTTGCTGAGTGAATGGAGGCACAGTCACATGCTTTACCTCCCTCAGCAGGTAAATGACAGGGGCAGGGTTTTGCCTGGGTCCAGCCGACTGCAAAGTACACAATCATTCACACGCGTTCCCCACAGTGTCACCACACAGAAGCCACCTAGGAGGAAAGACCCAAGAGAGGAGCAAGGAAGGGAGGTAAGACCCAGGTCTGGAAGCTTCATGCTGCCCCGGTTCTCTGAAGGATTCCTCAGTTGCTGGTCACCCCAGTCACCTCAGGTCTGTTTCTTCAGGGTTCCTGCTGTTGGGCAGCCTCTGTGCCTCGCCAGGCCCCTGCTCTCTCCCTGCTTTCCTCACCTCCTGCAAGGAAGCAGACGTTCGTTTTGATGGCAGGACAGAGTGCAGCCCAGCTCCTGGTAAATTCTGGAGAAACTAGGAGGGCTTGCTGGCCTTTATTGACACAATTGGATTTTTCAACCCAGGGGCTTAAGGGCAGCTTGCCTTAGGGCTGGATCTCAGATTTCAGAGAAACACCCTCCAAAGTTTAAAAAAATTTTTTTTAATTGATTTTTTTTTACAAAGAGGAAGAGAGAGGGTAGAGAGGTAGAAACATCAATGAGAGAGAAACATCTATCAGCTGCCTCCTGGGGATGTGCCCGCAACCAAGGTACATGCCCTTGACTGGAATCAAACCTGGAACCCTTCAGTCCGCAGGCCAACAATCTATCCACGGAGCCAAACTGGTCAGGGCCCAAAGTTTTCTGTATGTGTCCCAGACTTCCAAACTGTCTGAGGTGGCAGGCTACTACTGGTGTCTGGTGTCTGGAGCCCTCCTAGTGGCCAGCATCATGGATGACACATGAACAGACAGCCTGAGATCATCCATCCATCCATCCATCCATCCATCCACTCCACACATGTTTATTAAGCATCAACCTGGCCCAGACACTATTCTAGGGAAATAGGAGACATGACAGAGTCATGTAAATTGATTGTACCTCTGCTACTCCACCAGCCAATCAGGAGTGATATGCAAATTAACCCACCAAAATGGTGGTTAATTTGCATACACAGGCCTGAGTGACTGGGGCTGGACGCTTGCATCATCACCATGGCAACAATACAGATGTTCTGCCCCACCCCTGGTCTCTCAGGGCCTCTGGGCAGCTTGGGAAGGCAGGGCTGGAACAGAAGGAGGCGGCTCCAGGCCCTGAGTGGAAAGGGGCTGGGCTGGAGTGGAAAGGCAGTGTCATTAGCCAAGGAAAGGAAAGCCCATTCTAGCATGAATCTTCGTGCATCGGACTTCTAGTATGTGTATATGTACATGTATATGCATATGTATATATATCATTTCATAGAAGAGAATCATTATTATTTTTTGTTCAGCTTCTTTCAGTTAAGAAATGTTTTCCAGGTTCACCCATGTTGTACTTCATTTCTTTTATGGTTGAGTAACATTTCATTGCTTCTGCATTCAGTTGGTAGACATTTGAGTTGTTCCCATTTTTTGGCTGTTATAAAGACTGCTGTTGTGAGCATTCATGTACACATTTTTGGGTGGACATCCATTTTCATTTCTCTTGATCTAATATATATATATATATATATATATATATATATATACACACACACACACACACACACTAGGAGTGGAATTGCTGGATCATATGGTAACTATGTTTAGTTTTTTGAAGAGCTGCCAAACTGCTTTCCATGGCAGCTGTGCCATTTTACATCCCTACCAGCAATACATGAGGGTTCCAATTGATCTCTGCCCCTACTGGGGGCACATGCAGAAGGCAACCAGTCTGTTTGTCTCTTTCACATGGATCTTCCTCCCCCTACCCCCTCCTTTCCACTTTCTGAAAACCAGTGGAAAATACCCCAATTAAAAATAAATAAATAAATAAATACAAATTCAGGCCTTCAGTAGGTTTCAAGTGCTCAGTGGTCACACGTGGCTGGTGGGTAATGAGTTGGACAGTGCAGAGTGGGAACATTTCCGCCACTGCAGAACGTTCCACAGGACAGTCTGGTAAAGCATCATGCAGTGACCGTGACTTTACATTTCAATAGGATTCCTCTGGCCAAAACTGGTTTGGCTCAGTGGATAGAGCGTCGGCCTGCGGACTGAAAGGTCCCGGGTTCGATTCCGGTCAAGGGCATGTACCTTGGTTGCAGGCACATCCCCAGTAGGGGGTGTGCAAGAGGCAGCTGATCGATGTTTCTCTCTCATTGATGTTTCTAACTATCCCTCTCTCTTCCTCTCTGTAAAAAATCAATAAAATATATTAAAAAAAAAAAAAAAGGATTCTTCTGGCTGTGGGTGTGGAATGAACTCGGGACCGTGCTGAGGCCAGGATCCAGGTAGGAGGGGATGGCAGATCAGACCACGGGGACTGTGGAGGTGGAGAAGTGGTTGACTCTGGATGTGTTTTGAAGGTGGAGCAGCCAGGATCTGCTGGCCGATGAGATGGGGGAGGGAGGGAAAGTGAGGTGATGGGCATTTGGAAGGAGCCCAGGCTTTGGAGCGTGGAGTTGCGCAGCTGTGTTTCTGAGCCCATGTGGGCCCGTTTTCCTTCCGTTCCACAGGCGTACTGCTTCACAGTGCTGGCAGGCAGGGGCCCCTGCAGAGGTGTCTGTTACCGCCCACTGCTGTTACACTTGACTAGAAGGTGGTGGGATGAGATCCACACCTCATCTGGCCTTCAAGGCTCTGCTGAGTGGATGCTGCCAACTCTCCCGTTACTTCTCCTGACATCTACTCTGTACCAGAAAACAGGGGCTCCACTGTACCTGCTTCCTGGTTCATCCTGTCCCCCGAGTCATGTGGCTGGCTCCTTCTCCTCCTTCAGGTTTCTGTCCTCCAGCTCCTCCTAGCACTGAGGCTCAGGCTGCAAAGCTGCCTGCGATGGACACCCACAAGGTGTCATGCTATTGGGGGATGGGGTCTTTCATGTCTTCTGCCATGGTGATTGGATCGCCCCGTTCATTTACTCACCAAATCTTTACTGAGACCTGCTTGGGCCAGAAGCTGTGTAAAATTCTGGCACTGCAGCAGCGGATAAGACAGATGCAATAGGACATACAATAACTAGGTAAAAAGGCAATCTAATGTCAGGTGAGGGGCAAGTGGGTGGAAATGAAGCAGGGTGCAGAGGTGGGTAGAGAATGATAGGGGGCGCTTCATTGGATGGGGAAGATGGAGGCAGTGATTGGCACAGGGGAGGAGAGCAGACATGCATGGTCAACAATGAGGACCGTTTATTGAGCACTTTCTGCATGCGGGTCATGCTCTAACCTCAGTGAGTCTTCCCACCCCTCCCCAAAACAGTTGCTTAAAACAAGACCGACTTACTACTTCTCACAACTCTGTGCACTGGCCGGCAGTTTCTCTTCTGGTTTTATCTGGGCTCATTCATGCAGCTTCATTCAGCGCCCACCTATGTTTGAAGGTCCAAGATGGCCTTATCCATATGCCCAGCAGCGGTGAGGGAAATTCTGTTTGCAGCCTCTCATCTTCCAGAGGACTGGCTTCTTATTTATTTATTTATTTATTTATTTATTTATTTATTTATTTATTTCAGAGAGGAAGAGAGAGAGAGAGAGAGAGAGAGAGAGAGGGAGAGAGAGAGGAGAGAGAGAGAGAGAGAGAGAGAGAGAGAGAGAGAGAGAGAGAGAGAGAGAGAGAGAGAGAGAGAGAGAGAGAGAGAGAGAGAGAGAGAGAGAGAGAGAAACATCAATGATGAAAGAAAATCTTTGATCGGCTGCCTCCTGCACGCTCCCCACTGGGGATCAAGCCCGCAACCCGGGCAGGTGCCCTTGACTGGAATCGAAGCCAGAACCCTTCAGTCCACAGGCCAATGCTCTATCCACTAGCCAACCTGGCTAGGGCAAGACTGGCTTCTTCACGTGGAGTTCTCAGGGCAGAATC